AATTTTCTGTTTTCTATCAGTTAGCCAATCTTCTTTCTATGCTCATATACTACCTTCAACACCCTGCCTGCATTTTACCCTGATGTCAGGGTCTCAACCTAAACCCTTACTTGCTGTTGCAGCCTTAGTATTTAAGTTGCTGATCTAGTTCCATTTCTGGTTAATGGTAACAACAGGATGCTGATAGTAGGACGTTAAGAAATGCATTTGAATGTCAAGACGATATTAGGTTAGATTCTCCCTCACTGAAAATGGTCATTGCCTTACACTTGAGTTGTATGAACGCATATGGTCCATGTCTTGCTGCGGTTTGATTTTATTTTCTTTATTTATATCGAAAAGTGCTCTTACACCCAACTGAACTTTCTTCCCTATCACCAAATCACCTGAGTTCTTTTTCAAATTTAATAACAACCATGAGTAAATCACCCATGTTTCCAATTGGAATAATTTATGTTCAAAGCCTGTTAAAGGACAATGCAAACCCTCATTAAGCCAGAGGGAGGGTGAGGGACAGAAGGCTAAATAAAAGGGGATTTGCTGCAGTTTGACAGCAGGATGGTGATATGATGAACCTGGATCTGTTGACTGCTAAATGATTTCATGTTTCAGCCAACATGAAACGTGATTTTGATTGGCATAATGCATGTGCAAGAGGATTTAAAATGACTCTTTCCACAACCCTGGCACACATATAGAAGCACTAGTGGAGTGGTGATGAAACTGGACGAGGAGGTACAAGATGGAGAGTCCAATCATCTTCTTGTTTCTCTCTTCTTCCCACTCCCTTGAATGTCAGAAAAGAATTCCTTTCATCCCAAAGTGAACAAGATGTTTAAATGTTCAATTAAAGGTCGTAATGGTGTAATGCTATCAGTAGTAGGGGGATGGCCATAGTGCACAAAGTACACTGTGATGGTCTAACTGAGTCTCTGTGGGAGTGCATGGTTTCTTCTGATCAGGGATTCTGTGCCCTATGGAGGGCTCCAATATAGCAAGGGACATCCCTACTGAAAGACTCCTATCCTGCCTTCCACACTGACCAGGCTCTCTTCACAGGACCTGCCCCACTCACTTCTCTTTGGAGGCCTCCCTGGCGTTTACTGCTCTAAGACCTCATGAAGCTCAGGCATCCTTGAACAGGATGATTAGAATATATCTATGCCTGGATTGGCAGCTGCTAACTCAAAAACTGATATTGTTGTAACTGAGGATATAGCGCACCAATGAAAGCTGCATGTGGTCAGACATGGACAAGATTGGTCCACAGCCAATACAAGGGCAAGAATATTTTGAAGTTGGAAGAATTTTGCTGTAGAGGACTCTAATGAGCACTTCAGTCCACAAAAAATTGTGAAGCTTGATGTGTTGGTAAATCTTGTCAGAAAGCCTGAGGTCACTGTCAAGAAGGAGCCCACCAACAACTTGGCACAGAGCTGAAAACTAACCAAAAAGTGAAATGTATACAAATGCTGTCAAAAATAACTATGAAATTTGAGAAAAATCACTACTTTAGTTTTGTTTGTTTAGAAATTCACATAAGCTTTGCTTTAGTCATTCATAATTTCTCAAATGAGCTGTATGTATTTATCCCATTCTCTTTTGAAAGCCATTGTCGAATCTACTCCCATCGCTACTCCAGACTGTGCATTCTAGTTCAACTTGCAACCTCCCCGTTACTGCTTCAGTTGCTTTATATTGGTGTCCTCTGGTTATTAATTTTTCTACCAGTGGACAGCATCTACTTATTTCCTGTCATGATGACATACTTGAGTCAAATTAATAATTTTTAATCTGCAAGATGGAACTATAAATTGAAGTTTCCAGAAGACATACTTTTAAACTTAAAGACTAATGTGACCAAACAATGCACAGCTCAAGATTAGCAAACTCAATTTGCACCACGAAACATTGTACATTCCCACCTTGATGAGAACGATACAAAACCCAATGACAATAACCTCCTCCCCACCACCCCCAGGATGGTGAAAGATAGCAGATCTTTTGTTCTGGAGCAAGTAAGATTCAAATTCATGCCTCCTGGCGTCAGAGGTCGGGACACTATTACTGTGTCACAAGATCTCTCATCTCGTGTTCTTTTAACAAAGTGTCAAAGCTGTCACATGATGTAATCAATTTCAAGCCGTTAAGGCTATTGCATCAACAACAGGAGCCTGCTTTATTATAGCTTTGAAGACAATGAGCTAATCAAGTTAGCACTAAAATATACAATTGTGTTCAAGTGACTGGCAGTTGGGGAAAGCGGTCACAAGGTAAGCCATCTCCTTTGTGTGTTTTTGCTCAGCAGAACTCAGAGCAAATAGCTAAGAAATTGAGCAAGGTCCTCCCTCCTTCTCTCTCCAGCTAACTTACAAGTTTAGACCCTATTTGCTTTTGTTTGGCTTTCTTTCCTAGTGCAACAGACAGATTTGAAGGAAAGAACTCAACTTCACAGCTGCGTCGCCAAATGAACAAACAGATTGTCAGTTTTCAGTTTTAAACTCCCTGGATACAAAGCAAAAAAAAAGGGATTTGGCCAGAAGCCAGCTGAGCCACTAAACTACTGACTAACTCAAACTTTCACTTTTTTCCCCATATTTTTTAGTTTGGATAAGTTGTCCTTTCCCAATCTGTAACATGCATTTGCGTGTGTCCTCACTGTCTGCACATGTAGGAGTGTCACTTTGCACTTATTTTACTTAAAATCAGTTGAATTATAATAAAGTTAACCCCTTTTATGATGATGAAAAAATTTGTCCATTTGGTTCTTTTATATATCACAGCACATTAACTTACATACTCACTGAATTGGCTAGTATAACCATTTCAAAATATAGAACAGTGTTGCAGTCAAACAAGGAGGGGAACAAAGACCCCCTGCACCTGGTTGTAATATTAGCCTTTCAAAATGCTTTACAGTTTTGAACACTCTAGGAAACCTTGGTTTAACTTCCATTGTTCAAAAGGAAATCAACCAGGATCTGCATGTAAATAGAATCTTTCGTCACCGCTACCGTTCTGTTCTGTATGCTTTCCAAGGTCCTTAGTCCTTGATCCTTGCTGAAGCATGATGCATAGAAATGAGCCAAAACAAGGTCTTACAAAAGGTTTATCAACGTTGCCTCTCTTTTGTACTTCATGCTTCTACTTTTAAAGCCAAGGAGTCTATATCCTTTTTAAGCAGCCTTCTTAGTTTGCCCTATACCTTCAAAACTAGTACTCTTTCAGATCTGTTTCCTGCACTTACTTTATAATGATAGCATTTATTTTGTATCAATTTGTCATTTTCCTACTAAAATGAATTTTTTCACATCTGTATTAAATTTCATGTACTCATCTACCAAATCGTCAATGCACTCACAAAGTTTATTACCATCTTCCTCATTTAAGACATTCCCAAGTTTAATTTCTTCAACAAGTGTTGAAATTTGTGCTCAAATCCTGGTCTTTAATACTTGACAAGAAAAAAAACCAAACCATCTCAACACTGATTTTTGAGAAACACTAATGCATACTTTGCTCATTGTGGGGGAAAGAAAAAGTTCATCAGTACATTCTGCTTCCTTTTTCTTATTTTGTATTTACTCATCTACTTCCCCCTTAAAGCCAGAGGCTTCAAATTTTACTAACAAGATTATTATGTGCAACTTTATCAAATGAAAGTTCACTTACATAACATTAACCACACTAACACCACCTTTCACTCTTTCAAAGAACTTATTCAAGTTAAACGAAGACGACTTGCCGAAATCCATGTCAACTTTAAAAAAAAAATCACTGAAAAACTAGATTCGATAACTTTTTTTCTCGGGTGGAAGAGGCCAAAACTAGAGGGCATAGGTTTAAGGTTAGAGGAGAAAGATATAAAAGGAACCTAAGGGACAACTTTATCATGCAGGATGTGGTGCGCGTATGGAATGAGCTGCCAGAGGAAGTGGTGGAGGCAGGTACAATTACAACATCTAAAAGGCATCTGGATGGATATACGAGTAGAAAGGGTTTAGAGGGAAATGGGCCAAATGCTGGCAAATAGGACTAGGTCAGATTGGGATGCCTGGTCAGTGTGAATGAGTTGAACCAGACAGTCTGTTTTTGTGCTATATGACTCTATAATTGTTCCATTGGTATGATTTCAGCATGGGGGAAATAATTGTAGAAAGAACAGGGGGAAATTAACAAAGAAAAACATTTGAATAAGGTGAAAAAAAAACTCTTGGAAACTAAGTTAGATATAATCCAGAGCAATGACAACGTTTTCTTAAAAAAAGCTGTTTCTTAATGCCATCTCTCATATTAGGCAGCAATTCCTGACAGTCTATCAGATTTGTTGGATGAATGCTGGGTTCTACAAAAGGGTTGAAGGGGGTTCTACAAAAGGGATCTAATTGAAATACCATCATTAACTACGAAAGCTGAAGTCACAATCAGTTCAGCCATGATCAAAATGGCACAGCAAGCTCAAAGGCTAAACAGTCTATTCTGAAATCATATAAATAGTTCTATCTCCAGGAATCAAGGAATGTTAGAGTGGTAATGCAACATCATTGTACTGACATCCAGCTCAGCAAAATGATGATTTCAGCAAAGGGATAACAAGTATTTGACAATCACAGAATCTGTACACTCCAATTCTCCTGATGTCACAAAAATTAATGCTATGAAAAAAAACTCAGCATATACTTTCTTCAACAATTACAGCTATCAAAATGACCTACATAATTAACATCCCATCAGATGATATTTTGAAGTATTACTATTCCTCTATAAATATTTCAGATCATAAATTTCAAAGTGGGTACAAAATAATCTGGAAGCAAAGTGAATTGTTAAGTCAATATTTCTAAACATTTTAGACTAGACTTTGAGATATATTTCAACCTTCAGACATATTTCACCAGTAAGTAAGCTAATGCCTCCAAATTATATATCTTTTAAAAAAAAGTTTCACATTTTCTTACAGCTATACTTCAAGGTACAACACTAGAACAGTTCAAACCATACACTTGAAGTCCTCTACGATTTATTGGGTAACAAATAGCGGCCAAAGTCCATTAGCCATCTAAGATTTAACACGTAAGTTTGTTCAGCGCTGTATAAAGAATCCATGCCAAAAGCAGTTCGTCTGGACATCTGCCTCATCCTTTCCCCCTTCTTGAACCGGTTTGTTCTAACGTCGAGAAGTGCTTCAGTTTCTCAATGTTATTTGGGCAGGGAGGGATGGAGAAGAGAGTGCGGTCACTCTCTGGTGCTTTAAAAATAAAAGAGAGAAAAATAAAAAATAACAACCTCACACCAAGACACTTTCTACACTGCACGAATCAGACCGGAAAAAGAGTAGAGACCTGTTTCTCAGTACAGCCAATAGCGAAATGCAAGGCGTTCAAGAGTGACGGTGTATCCGGGAGACAGCCGGTGGGCTGCAGAGAAAGTTGTTCACTTTACCTTTGATAATTTGCACTGCAATTATTTTCTTGTTGGTTTGATTGCAGTTTAAAGCCGCTGGGATGGCTTTCGATGTCAGACGGTGAGTTGAGCTGGGCTTCGTGCATCAATTATATGTCTAATTCTTGTGAAGGGAAGCTTTGGGAGGATGTAGAGAGTTTCTTTACATGTTGAAAAAAAATACTATATAATTTGACATTAAGGGCCAACTGGTCCTTTTATCTTGTAAAAAAATTCCACTTCAGAAACTGCAAAAAAAAATCCCTAGCAAGGGAACATTAGGGAGCTGTTAACAGCTGTACTTTTTGTATGTTTGCAAATCTCGTCCAGGTTTTTATTAGAGCATCCCCGAGCTGAAGAATACACCTTTCTGGATAGTTTCTAACCTGTGTATCAACGGGATTAAATGGAAATATATTGTTCATGTCAGATTTGGAGAAATTAATCAGTAAATGCCCTTTTATTATTGTATTAAATGATTTTTAAACCTGTCCAGAATAATGTAGTTTCCGTGTTCTCTCAAGTGAATTGTACCTCCAGCTTAGTGATTTGAGCTTTGTGATTAATTTTATTTAATATCCTTTCTTTCATTGTGAACTGGAATAGCGTTAATATATTAACACGTGGCGCACAATGATTTGTTCTTACTTGGGTCCGGCTGCACCCGGAAGTTTTTTCTTTTGGTTTTAAATTGCATTTCAGAAACTACATGTATTGGAATTTCAGACTAGGATATAGAGGATTAAAGCAATTTTATTCTTTATGAAGTGTCTCCCAATTAACTACTTTGCGTGCTTGATTAAAATCCTGACAATTAATTTGGTATCGATTTGGAGCTTTATCTTCGTTGATAAATTACAATCAGAGTTAGCTCTTCCCTGCCTCTAATTTATGTTTTAACCACTTTACTCACAAGGTTCTTGCGCAGAAACTTTAATACCAAGGTTGGTTTATTGTCTTAAATGTATAAAGACCTGAACGTGAAGCTGCAGCCAATCATTCAGAAGTATATTCACAATCTTACTGTAATGTATGGATCTTAGTCCTTACAATGAGGGTATAGTTTTGATTAAAAAAAAGTGTTTCACATTTAAAGTGTCTGTATGCTGTGATTATCCTGTAACAACTGAAATGCATCTTTATTTCTAAATTCTGTTTCAGTAACCCCACAGCAATTTAGGTTTTCATGTCTGTGTGAATTTAATGCAACGTGGTTTGTGAACTACTGCCAATCTGTACGCCTTGCCCTGAGCTCTGCCAGAAAAATTGATGATGTGCAAAGAGTGGAAGTCGGTGGTGCAAGAATACAAGTCAGGTGGAAATGAGAGAGAATCCATGCCTGCTACTCTGCAGTACAGCATGTGATGCACCACATGCACCAAAGTAACAAATCAATATCCAAGATTTTTCTCCTATTCTACACCCTTCCCTTTTAGTTTCATTCTTGATCCTCTTTTTCTCTTGAAGGTGCTGATTTATTCATTGAGTATTGAGCTAATAACTCTCTGCTACCTTAGTTCCATTTCTTTTGTAAGCTCAGTTGGTACGTGTCAATGGGTTGCCATGGACATTGTTGTCAAATCCATTACTGTACTTATGTTGATCTTAAAATATGAATCCAACAATTGTTTGTGGATATCTAACTAGTTTTTGGGAACAGGAATTTTGATGTTTCTTTTTCCAGTCATGTCACTAAAATGTTGAATCCAATGGTAGTCTCCTTATTGCCACTCTGGACAACGAATAACTCAAGCTAAATTTGAGACCTTCTGCTGTGTGATGTAGCAATTATTCATGTTATCTGGTGGTATAGTTTAACACTCCTTCCAGCTTCATTTATATTTTCTTTTCTACCCTCTCTCTTGTACTTTGTCTTCCGAAGTCAACAGAAGGGTCAAGTGAACATATTCAAATATAGATCAAAATTGATTGGGCAATGCTGCTTTTCCACTCTGAACTAATATGTATAACTGGTACCTCAGTATGATGTTGCTTAGATCTGATAAGTGATCAAGTTTTAAGGGACATGGAAGGAAGTTACTGGAGGATGATGTAAGTATCTAAAAGATTAATAGCTCCAAGAATGATGGCATTGGAAATTTAACTATCAGTTCAGTTTTTCAGTCTTCAATGCTCTTGCATCAAATAGATCTTGGATAAGTGATCTGAAGAGGCGAAATATAAATTAAGGATTCATCAATACAAATGAATATTGTGCTTCTGAAACTTTTTCATCTTGCCCTTATCAGGACAAACACAAGAATGCCAAATTTTAAAATATCATAACTATTTATACTTCAGGGAAAAAAAGTTCAGATTGGTTGACAAGTTGGCTGACTGTTGTCGTGGAGAAAACAATGGGGAACTCCAGGATCCCTCAGCTCCTGTGCAATTCAATAAAAGCACAAAGCATGAGCATATTCATTTTGTTGACAGAGAATAGGTCTCTGCATATGTATGTATGTATGTCTGTCACTTATATCAAGAGCAAATGAGCTATGATACAAGCTCATCTTATTTTTAGATTGATTGTTATTGTACCTGTTAGTGAGCTTCATGGTTCAAGTACATTTACTGAAAGTGACATATATTCATAGAGCAGGACTCTGCTCTCTACAAATAAAAGGGATATGTTTAAATGAAAGATGAAGAACCTTGATATCTTGTCTCTCTCAGCAATAATCAAATTCTGTCCTACCAAGTGGCAATATTCATAAGTTGTAGCACATGTCTCCAAAGCTTGTGGATGAAAACCGTGTCATAATGCTAAACAATATGTTGCGGTATTTCTGAGAATCATCAGCATTTTGTATTCAATGCACATAAGAGTCACCAGCATGTTTTCATAGATTTTATATTCTCAAATTTTATAGTTAAGGAATTTGAGTTTTTTTGAACATTTTTTGCTTCTGCCTTCAAAAGTGTAATTTTATAATCTAGATATTCAGTCAAAGAATGGTTCAATATGATTGGAGATGCCAGTTAAGTGCAAAAACTCTTGTTTACTAACCAAGTTTGAATGCAAAGCTTTCAGATCTGGATAGAATATTTTTGTTGTTTGCTGGTCTAATTTTGAGTCATCTTGCATTAGTGTTGTTACAGTTCCATACTCAGTGGGAAATGAGCTATCAATCTCATGTTCTATTAATAGAGTATTCAGGATGTGTTTCACGTCCACAATCCACATCGTACTGCGGCAGATTTTTCGTAATTTCACAATGAAACCACTCAACTTTCAGATTTTTACATTATTGTGCAACATGTGAATCTTGCTTTTAATATGTATCATTATTCTCTGATGAGGACAGCCATTGCTCTCTTTTGTTATTGTTCTGTATAATTTTAATAGGTATTGATTTCATGATTATGGATGCTATCTTTTATGCATTGTGCGCTTCACTTAGATTTGAAAATGTAACAGAATTTCAAGAATTGACTTCACCGAATACCTCAAGACTTTGTTGAGATCATTTGTAGCTTTGCTGAAACTCTTTGCATTGCGTTGAACAATGCTATCCATCATACTGCCTACGACAGGATCAAAAGTAACCGGATGCCAAACCTTATACAATTACAATTAAGCAATGGGTTACAGGGGAAATTTTACATATTTCACAGTCTGCTGTGGCATTGTTGGTTTGTTTAAAACCAGAACATTATTACATTTTAATGCAGATTTTTGTCTTCAGCCAAAGTTTCAGGATTGCAGGTAGGTGCATAGAGGTGTTCAGGGGGTCCATTATTTTGCAGTGCTAATTATTAGGTATTGGTGCACTAGAATGGAATTAGTGTTAATTCACTCTAGTTCCTTTTTATTCTCGTGCAAGGCCTCAGATAATGTACTTCCACCCCTTGCAGTTACCTGAGATTTTCGTGGTTTTGATTGGGACCAAAATGGATGCAAGGCTAGAAGAAAATGCTGGTCGAATCTTGGATACAGAAGTCCCACTTTTGCTTCCAGCATCAAATGGTGTGAGAAAGTGGGTGGGTTGTATTTTAAAGTTCCTAGCTTTGTTTAAAAGATGCCAAGTGCTAATCTGTCATGCTTTTCATGGAGGTAGCCACGATTAGTAAGGCCCCTTGATTTATGTATAATGAATAAGGTGTGAACTATGACCTGGAAGTGGAAATAGAATTTCCTACTTTGCATTTTATCAGGGAGTGTAGAAATCCGAGGTACATCTGTTACCAAAGTCAGAGCTAGTGCAGCTATAGATGGAGGAGTTGTTTTTATGAATGGCTCACTTGTTTTTTATGGGCAGTTCTATGAGAATTTTGACTGAATTTCAACCTCATTATAGGGTCAAATATGAATACTTGGGTTAGTGTCGGTATGATGGGGATGAAAGGGGTAAGACAGCAAGAGTGTTGATGTGGTTGGTGAAGGAGATGCGGGTGGAAACACCTAAATCTGACCTGTTTTGCTTCATTTATCATTTCAAACTGCTGATGTTTTCATACACAAAGATGGGTCTTGAAACTGGGCTGCATTGGCATTGAGATGTTCCTTCCTTAGGGCTGGCTTCAGAGGCGATGTGCTGATGTCTGGTCCATACTCGCTTCTTGCCAAGAAATTAAGGCAGGAGCGTTCCTGGAGGATGGAAACACGATCAGAGAGTCAGGGAAATTTCCAACCTCCAGTATTCGTCTCAACTAAGAAAATGCAGGCCTCTGTTTAATTGATGCCTTTTAATATTTCAGTGGGTGACTTCTGTCTTGTTAAAAATCCAAATTAATTTATGAATGCTGAAGATGCTTGTAACCATGTCATGCATTTATTTTATTTGAATGACATCAATCTGCCAGAATTATTTTGACATTGCTTTAAAATTGTGGCTGTTTTACCTGTATAATATAGCATTAGCTTTTGAAATATTGCAAGCTTGTGCATGGAAGGAACTAGCGCATGGAATTAACTTGCCCTCTGGGTTTTGAGTTGCATAAAGGAAATAGGCTGCAGTAACAGTCGTGTGGTGGTTTAATTGTATTAAAAAGTTTGCAAGATTGGTTATTTTAGTTAACCAGACTCGATACTGTACAATTTTGTAAATGAAGCACTAACTGCTATCTGTCATTTGTAGA